TTCCTTTAAGCCCAGATTGCTCCCCGGGCGCCACATGGTGGCAGCCCACTGCTCCCCAAGGGGATGGGTTAAATGCAGAGGTGAATTTCTCCAATGCGAGATAAATAAAGTTCAATTATAAAAAAAAAATTATACATGCAACCATGCACTGTGCCAAAGTAACAACATCTGCTTTTTAGAGTTACTATTAGGCCGAGTTATAATCTGCTTTCTTTCTTAACTTCATTGATTTCGCCCTTTTTCTTTAACCATAATGGACTTTTATACCATTCTAAAAGATCCAGATTTCCATGTTTCCTCATCTTTCATCCCAAATTGCAACCATTTTTTTTTATATATATATTCTCCAGGCAATGATCAATTACATATGTAGTGTTCAGATGTAAAATTGTGCTGTCACATTGGACTATCCTGCCAGCACTGTAAAAGGCGGGCATTTGGATGATGTGACATTTGCTTCCGAGTGTTAGCCTTCCTCCAGTCAAGCTGTTCTCAGTTAGACCGACAGAAATGGGGTCAGAAGTCATACAGATGCACTCTGATGTGATTGGCACTCGGGGGACTCGTGGTTTCACACTTTGGGGATTATCCTCCATTTTCCAGAAAGTCCTGCCTAGAGACTCTGAGGGAATGATCTCATGATTGGCTTTGGGGGTTTGTGTATGTGTGTGTGTGTTTGTGTGCGTGTTATTGTCAGCATGTTCAGGGCAGGAGTGTCATGAATATGATCAACTGTGTCCAGAGGAGGATTGCTCCGGGTTCTGGAAACAGTGTTTCAGTGAAGCCATTATATAATAGAATACAAAGTAATAGATGGAAAAGAGGTTTCAGCTGGAATCAGCCCCGTAGTTTCGGCCAATGTTTGCATTGTAAATTTATTGCCTTTTTTAAATGAATAAATTGCCATGAGGTTAATGTTATAGAGCTTTATGGTACCTTTAGTTATTTTAAAGAGGAAGTATGGTGTCAATTTAAAAAGCAACAAAAAAAGTTAGCTATGTACTTCAAAATGTTGATCAAAGTTTGGAATAAATCCCTCAGATGTTTGTGTAATGGAAGTAATGGTTTGTTAGCGGGTCTGCTTGCTTTGTGTGCTTTTACTGGATGATGTGCTGTGGTGAATTTTCTCATTGTCTCTGTGCCTCTGTTTGTGTTCCCCTGGATCCTTCTCTCTAGTTACAAGCACAGCTAAATTTAGAACAGTAATTTGCTTAGGGGGGCACTCTCTTGGTAGTGGTGGTTATATAAAAGATGGGGTATTTGTTCTAATTGTAAATGCATGTGAGCAGCCTAAGCTTGGGGAAAGAAGCAGGAACTTCCAAGACCATCTTCGGCTCTTTTCCCGATGCTGCTCAGCTTTATTGTCGTTTCCAACGGGAGACTTTCCTTGGAGTGGATGTTTTTCCTTTGCTGAATATCTTCTCAACTACTTCCTTACCTCAATACATGTTTCAATCACCTAACAAAACACACATGGAGAAAGGTCCAGGCCTTTTCCAGCCTTCTTTCCCCTCCCCATAGCTTGGAAAATCTTACATTTCTGCAGAAAAGAAGTGCACACATCCTGTCCTGATTATGGCAGCGAAAGGAGATGGATCTGGCGTGGTCGATCCGATGCAAGTCCGACACATGAGCGTGGTTGAGCAGAACAGATATGCAGGCAGGCATGCTTCTGCGTTTTATATTGCCCTTGTTCTTAGCCTTTGATGACACTGTTTTGAATAGGAAATATCTAATAAGTCAAGCATTCTGTCTAATGTGCTGCCAGTTGGTTTAGTATTTGCCTGGAGGTCTTGAAACAGTATCTCAGCCACAGCAATAATATACATTTAAAATTCTCATTGAGTGGGAGGGAGGGAGCAATATGGAGAAAAAGGAGGCCCAGCTGAGAATATATGCTGTAATAGTAACCATATGCAGGATGGAGTAGTAGATGAGGGTGGGATAAAATGGGACGCACCTTTGGTCCACGTCCTGTAATTTGCAATTTATCAAAATCACGCTTCAAAAAACAGCAGTAGTTAATTGAAAGTGATGTGGGATCCATTATGATGATTAAGGAAACATTGGATTGGCCTCATGGAGGCTGTTACCCTTTTGAAAATAGAGATTAATAGGCGCAAGTTATTTATCTAATGTTATTTCTTCAAACAATGCAGCCATAGAAGGAAACTTTCATTGATTCAGTAGTTTTTATAAATCACAGCATTTTATAATTTTGCTAAAACACTATTAAGGTATAGAGGACCTTCTTTTATTTCCGGGTGGATCATCAAAAGAAGTGGTCCTACTAACTGTCAATCATTCTGATGATATGTTTACGTAAGGCCGTCCTACACGCTCGTCCTGTTAGCTATATTTTTTCTGGGCATGCGCAGTTTCAGGCGTGTATATATCTGTGGTGAGCTACGGTTTCAGATAGTCATTGAAGCTCACCTTTCTCACCGCGGTTCTTTGAAAATGGCCGAAGGTCGTAAGAGAAAAAGTGTCTACGAAGTGTATGAGAAGAAAAAAAGGGCCTCATAAAAGGCAGACATGTATATAAATGTACTCTTTATCAAAAGTTAGAAAATTTCTATTTAAAAAAAAACCCTGTCTTAAAATCTGTGGGGTTTTTTTCATTATCTTATGCAGGCCAGTTAGATGTACGTCAGCCTGAACACCTAAATTCAGCCAATCATATATCAACAGTCATCTGTCAATTTTTCTCAGTCATAGCATCTTGATTCATATGTCGCAGCTAATATACGCAAATGTTGAAATAAGAACTAAGAATCATTCTATGTTAACATTGAGTTATGTCCCAGTGTTCACAGGGATGGACGTCTGTCTTCGGCAGGCGTAGACCATTGTAATTTCCCATTGAGAACCTACTAGCACTAAGTTGCTAACTGGTTAGCAAAATGCTTCCGATGAACCGGCCACAATCAAACATGCTTGCGACCCTTCAGCAACAACAATACCTACCCCTTGATAATCAACCAAACACATTCACTTTATTCACTAGTGTAAAGTCGTGCACCACTCGGGAGATTTCGGAAATGCAACAGTTGGAACAGCCGCTTCCCGACGACTTTAAATGGAGAGGGTGTGTCTTTTAAAATCTCCACAATACCTTAAAGTTGTTTGTTTTTTTGTTTTTTGTTTTTGTTCTGCAGCCTCCAGTTCATTGTACTTTACTATTTTAGAACAATTTCGTTTTATGACCTGTCCTACATATTCTTGATGGACCTGATTTAGTTTAGTCTTTTTGCTCTCATTGCTGTTCAGTCACACCAGCTGGGGGGTTTCTTCATGGCTTGAGGATGACTTGCCTTGGTAGCATTTTACTTCAATGCCCCAACCCCAAAAAAACCCACAAAACTCTGTCGCTTTGATTTACATCATCTGATGCTGGCAGCTTGTTATTGCCTCAATGGCAGGAGCCCTCCTGACAACAGCTAACCATGACTGGGCATAAAATCTAAAGTGATTCAAAGACAATACCACAGTCACTCAAAAAATAAACAAACAACAAAACATTTTAATAAAATGGTATTGCAAGTATTGCAAAAAGATGAAAATTGTTTTTGGGGGGAGTTTTTAAACCACAGAAAAAGTCCCAGAGCATGGCTTAAATATGTCTGTGGCCTCTTCCCCTGCTCTTCTTCTCTGCCTTTTCTGACTGTTGGTATTTGGTTTATGCATTTATGAACCCACAAAAGAAACAAATGTGCAAATTCTTAATTTTTCAATAAGCTTTAAATATTTCCTATGCCGAAAGGGTCAAAAGAGGTAGGAGCCAAACGAGAACAGATTGAAACAGAAAGAGGCTCTACCATGCAAACTTATATGTGCTGCTAGTGGTGTAATGAAGCTTAACCCCTTGAGCCTGGCAGCACCGGTACAGGGCCAACTGACAACTGTTTATCTATTTATAGAAATGGCCAAAAAACACTCACATGGTGTTACGTCCAAACACCTTTCAAATCTCTCAGACATGTTTCAAAATAATTTTTTCACAAGTACTTTTTGTTTTATAGCTGTGTAAACAAACACAAATCAGATTTCAAATTCCACCTGACATGTGACTCTGCTGGAGTAATGCAAAGGCAGGTCTTCATTTTTAGCCACACCCCCATTTGAAACTAGAGGGTCAGACCTTTCTAAGGAGGGGTCGGAGGTAATTGTGCGACCATTTCAGGTGATGTAACTGGAATGCATTATGTAAGCTTGCTCTATTATTCTGTTATTCGGTTTGGTGAATAACAGAAACAACAGCTAAATCTTAGGAGCAAAGGCTTTGTCGTATGCAGAACGTCTCCAATAATGTAAATCAGCATATTTGTCTGATCAGATTCCCTTTAGGAGTTGAAAAATGCATTTTTGCACTTTTTGGCATTGTGCCAAAATCTAATTTCTGCCTAGCACACTGCCCACTAAAACCTTTGTGGAACAACTATCCTTCAACTTATTCAGTCCAAGTTTGCTTGAGTTATAGTCAAGATGTAGATCTATAAAGTCTGAGGGTTCACCCAGAGTTTCAAATTGACTTTCATGGTGTTTTGCAGTGTTTTGGAATAAAATTTGGCGAAGCTAAATATTTTTTCTTTTTTCTTTGTTTCATCATCTATAAATCACACTTTGTGACATTTAAAACAGTGGTTCCTGAATGCCTTTCTGTCACACAAATACAAACAATTGTATTTCCAATTTGTATTTTGGGAGCTGTACTTGCTTTAATTGACATACTGTACTGTATGTAATTTCTGGCAGAATTTTCTCCTAAGACCCTAAGGGATTAAGGGGTTAAAGCACACACCTTAAAGTCTGGACTCTGTATTGAAAGCTTGCTTTTCTATCAGCAGAAGAATCACATGTTGACAGCATCTGGGTTGGGGATTATCAGACGTTTTCCTAAGGAATGTTGTGGTGTTTTAATTCTCTTGGATCAAGATTCATTTTAATTTTTTCCCACTGGAGATGTTGAGGCACTAACATAATTTACTTTCTTTAAACAGGTAAGGAGACAAGACCAAAAGGGCGCCCACCAAGCTCCTTCAGCAGGTGCGGATTGCTCATCTCGCCACAGTGGGACTGGACAAGACAGCGGCTTTGGCAGCGACAGCGCCCACATTCGCATCGTCCAAATAGAGCAGCAAAGCGGGACCAGTCATCATTGCATCGCCAGGCCGTCTCGCAAATCAACCATCACTAAAAACCTCACCTTCATCCCTTTTGACATCTTTCTTACTGCCAGTAAACTATCTGTAATGACTTATCATTGTTCGAGTACGCCTAAATCTCTCCTTACATCGTCTGATGCACCCTCTACACCAGAGAAGAAAGACCCTGAGGATAAGGTAAAGAGATTGATTAGGGTGTAAATAAAATTGAATATCATTTCAGAAGCACAAAGCATTACTAACTGATCATGATCTGTGCTGTTTAGGTGGGGAAGAGCCTCCTAAATCATCCTGAGATCATGTCGGACTCTCCCTCAGCTTCCCCAACTCCTGAACAAATCCCTGCTGTCCAGGATTCCCTTGCTGTGCTGACTGCAGACGACATCCTCAACAGCAACACCTCCCAGCCACCTTCTCCACTAATTAAAGGAAGCTTGCTTTCACTTGATGGTCTCCCCACTCCGACCCGCTCCTCAGCACGCCAAGCCCTAGGCCTTACCATAGTGAGGCAGCCCGGGAGAAGAGGGACAGGTGATCAGGTGTTAGAGCCACTGTTATTCCTCCAGCTTATGCAGCCTTCAGTTCTACTTAGCTGCCATCACCGAAAGCAAAAGATGGAGCTTTCTGTGTTTGACGTGTCCCTGAGAGGAGTGCCTTCTGACTACAAGTGCCTAGGTGAGACAGTTTTCCTTGTAATAATATTCTGTGCAGATCTTGTTTTCAAGGGTAGAGACACATCTGTTAGAATATTCCACCTAAGCTTTTTTTTTTTTGTAAAGCCTTCAAATATTTAGATTGCTTTTCAAACATAACATCAGCAGTGAATTATTATTTAAATAAAAGATTCAAAAGAATTCGCTGTGATGAGTTTAATTCTGACTTTAGAAATTTACGCCAGAGTTTAAAGGGGCTAGCATGGATCTAAGTTAATTCCCTAGAGGAGAGGTCATGGATTAGCGGACCAGGGTCCGGATCAGGACCCACCTGCTGGTTAATCTGCACCCAACCTGATTTAAAACATATATAAATTATCGCACGTTGTCCAACGACAGTGTCAAACTTCACTTGCGCCGCTTCTCCTTTTAATATGGTAAAGCCATACCGAGCTTCAATGAGCTGCTGTCAGTCTGGGTTGCTGCTGCTGCTACTTTTAGACACAGCAGGCAAACCTGTGGCAAGCCGGGCGATGGGAAAGAAGGAGAAGATGATGAGAAAAAGAGAGCAGAGAAAGTGCAGACTGCTGTAAGAACTGCGGTGAACTGGTGACAGAAAATTTAAATGCCGTGCTCAATCATCATTGAGCACGGCATTTAAGCGTTTGTCCTGTTTAAATCGAGTCTCAATGGAAATCCAGCACTGGGCGAGATGAGCTGACATAAACAGCCGTGGCGCCATCTGTTGGCAATACCGCAGAGCTATCAAGAGGCCAGATGGTGACTACTAAATAGAGTCCAACTGTCCCACAATGCTATAAAGTAAAGCAGCAGCTTGGCGACTCTAAGATAAGTTAAAAAGTTAATCCTCCTGTCAGAACATCGAGGGAAAAGAAACTTCCTGTTCCAAACAAACACTAACAGCAACAAAGGAATAATCAACCAATCAATCCATCTGTCAACCAATTTATACTGTTTGTACTCAGACTGTAAAACTGAGAAAATCATTGCTATCATTGTTATCAGCAGTAATAATGAGATCAATCCTTTATAGGGCACTCAGTGAAATACTTTGAAAATCAAAATTTCAAACCAATAGTGGTATTGGAATCCAGGACAAAACCTTATTACCTTTGTAACATAAATAAATATGTATATTTTGATGTCAAAAATCTATGTACCTGTAATAACTAGAAACACCAACCTGCACGAATATATTAAGAAAAATAACAAAAGTGCTTCTACAAGAAATTCATGAAAAACACTGAGTGAAAGAAACACATTTTTTTTTTTTTTTTTTTTGGTACAACATAACCTTAGAGGCATTAATGCTGATACTGGTACTTGCATTTTTTTAGTTTGTAAACCTAAATATAATTGTTAACTAGGCTTATTAACTTTTTAACTTTACTTTTTAGATTTTTAATTAGCTTTTTACCTTTTTTTCTGAACTTGTTAAGTTTCTTTTCAAATTAATTCACGGTAGGTAATATATCATTCAAGGGCTCATTTAATTAGTCAAAAAAAAAAATCAGATGTACAGCCTTGTAGCAGAATCTTTGCTGAATGGGGGGGGCGGGGGGGGGGGGGGGGGGTGACTCCATTTGTAAGGGTTATGCAAGTGATCAAAAACGGTAATTGCCTTATAAATGGTGAGCTCACTTACATGAACGCCTCTGCAGCTTCTGCTTCAGTGAAGACCAGCCATCATAATGTTTTCCCAGCTCTGTTGGACTCTCATCGCTCTGGGAATGAAATATTATTTTTTGTATTTTTTAACACTGGATCTTATACTTTTCTTTATTATTTCCACACTTCCCTGGGAGGTGATAACTTGCTAAGCTGCTGTAGGCTACTTCCTTATTTCCTGACATATAGAGTTTTTTTTTTCACCTCCTTTGTTATTGTAAATATACATACAAGTCTTTATTTATTAACAAACTGAGCAAACATTAAGTTTGAAAGACTGAAATAAATAATATTCAATTCAATTCAGTTTATTTATATAGCGCCAATTCACAACACATCATTCCAAGGCACTTTACTGTTAGCTAAAAGGTAACTTTGAGTCTTCAGCTCAGAAACAGTATCCACACTACGCTGCTGTCAGCCTTGTATAACTCCACCATCCTTTTTTTCTGTTTGGAAAAACGACTGGAGTTTTGGATTTTCTGATCTAACTTTCCTTCTAAAGGGACCATATATCTGAACATTGCCAGTTTCTGGTCATCAGCTGTTTTATTGTTGTTTATCTATTACAAAATTCTTTTCACTCAGAGTCCCTTTTTTTGTCTTTTCCCTTGTTGTTCAGACCCAGGAAAGACTCTTCCAGAAACTCTGGACTACAACGTGCCCTGGCTGCAGACAGTGGCAGCGGAGGTCGACAGTAGAACAGGCGTCCCTCCTCCTCTGCTTTGCTTCCAGATCAAAGATTTCCTCAATGGACCAGGTGAGATTTACACACACTTCACATTCTGCACTGTCCTCTCACCCGGCCGCAACAAACCCTGTGCTGAATATGAGCTTTAAACTGTGTAATAATATTATTCCTTCATCAAAATCATGCCTTAGGGGGTACTTTGCTTGAATTATGTATGTGTGAATAGACATTTCCACCAATCTTTTTATATGCGCATTTTGAAGTATCACATTAGAAAACCTTGTTGGAAATGGCAGAATTCGAATAACCTGACTACATTTCCCAATAAAGAGCACTAGAGAGGTGATGGAAACATTTGTCAAATAAGTTCTGCCAAACATTTACCTCACATGACTGATCAGCTGTTTCTGCTGCCACATTAGAATCACACTTTCTCTCTCTGGACGTCTCTAAAAGGCATGAACCGTAGATAATACTGGCAGTCATGATAAAGTAACTAAAACTCGCTTAGATCCACCACATTCATTGAAAACCTCCGTCCAATACTGATCTTTGGTCTGCGCTAACATGCTACCTCTACTTCCTGTTTATTACAGCCAATTGTAATCTAAACGTATGACAACATGATGCTCTGCGTCTATCAGTTCAATCTAATAGATGGAAACATGTCTAATTCATGTTTTCTTATTTTTCAACATTTTAAAAGTTCACTTAGAATCTTGCATGACTTTCGGTGGCAAACATGGCTAGTAATGCTCATGAAGTCTGATGTCTGAGAAGCAGCCTCTTCAATTCAGTTCAGCTTATTTATATATGGCTCCAGTTCACAGCATATTTCATGTCAAGGATAAGCCTTCTGCTCCAGGCCGACGGGGGTTCAAGGAGTCATAAGATTAAGTTGACCCTCTCCATTCCAGGAAGCACTGGCCTTGCCCACACTGCACCTGCACATTAAACATCACACCCTGATCATTTGATGATCATGTGAGGCAGAATACATTTATTTCTGCTTAAATTGAGAGGAGGTGGCTCATTTAAAAGCTAATCTGCCCTGTGACAGCAACTGATCCTTCTATAGCTAGTGTCTCAGGGCCTGATAAACTAATGTACCAAAGAAGGGGTGCTAAACTGAATGTGTCATTTATCTAACATGTGCTTTAAGTTAGCAAGTAATATATGATCTACAGAAGTTGCCTCACAAATGTTAAGATGTGCAAATCATAAGCCTCCCTTATTAAGGCCCTTTTTAAATGGTAGTAGAGAGAATAACTAATACTACTAAACAAATAAATGCCTCATAATATCAAAGGCAACATTTCATCATATAAATGCCTATAGATTACCTTAAAAGGCTCAAAAAGCAGGATATAGAAGCTTTAAGTATGGTTATACTTTGCTATAGTTCCCATCCTACAGACTTTAGGACCCAGTGGTTATTTTTCCATGATTGTTTTGGCAAATAAATCAAAGATAACAGGGTTTTAATATAGATGGATATATATATATATATATATATATATATATATATATATATATATATATATATATATATATATATATATATATATATATATATATATATATAGTTATTGCACAGGGTATCAAATAGTATTTGCACATTATACATTGCACAAGTTATTGCGGTTGTAGTGTTGCATTGTGGATACTGGTTGTAGCAGGGATAAATGACCTGCGGTAGCACTCCTTTTTACCAACAGGGTGTAAACGTCTTTCACTGAAGGAGCTGCTCAGCTCCTCTACAGTCTGGTGCAAATGGTGAGAGGTGTTGTCCATGATGGATGTGAGCTTGGACAGCACCCTCCTCTCAGCCACTTCCTCCATTGAGTCCAGAGTGCAGCCTTGGACAGAAACGTCCTTTCTCACCAGTTTGTTCAGTTTCTCTCTGTCCCTCTCTGCGCTGCCAGGGGCTCAGCAGACGATAGCATAGAGGAGGGCTGAGGCCACCACAGTCATACAAGGTTTTAGGCATGGGCCTGCTCACTCCGAGGGACCTCACCCATGAACACCCGTTGTCCAGGTTGCAACCTGGACATGTCCTGCTCCTAAATGTTCACAGGGGGAGTGAGGCGGGGGTCTTGTACTAAAGTCGATCACCGTCTCTTTGGTCTTACCAGCGTTAAGACACAGGTGGTTCTTCTCACACATGTCCACAAAGTTCACGATGACCAATCGATATTCCAGCTCGTTCCCCTCAGAAACACAGCCTACAATAGCCGAGTCATCTGAGAACTTCTGGAGATGGCAGCTATTGCTGATATTTTAAGGTAAATAAAGGGAAAACATTTGAACGGTCTGGGTGTTTGTATCCATCCGTTTAGCATTTCTGTCAGGAAGTTTGGGAATCCCTGTTTTTAATTTGAACTGACGTCTACTTCTTCTTTTGTGCCAAATGTGGAGGTTTGAAATGTTTTAAATATTCAAATAGCTATTTTTAGACTGATATGATATCCATATGAGCAGAATTTAGGTGGGTTTGACATCCTGCCCAAATGTAACTACAATGAATAAATGTTTGAGTGGGCTGTTGGGGTCTTTGTGTGCACACCCTTTTTATCCCTGTGAGGGTTTCCTTGAGAAAGTGTGTAGGCGCAGGAGGCGCAGGTCATCCTTCAGCTCACTGAGTCCAAGCCAGATGTTGCAAATACTTACACACTGTCATGTTAACTACAGAAAAACCTTGATATATAGACTGTCCTTCTTCCACATGCATGCAATCATTGACAGATACTGTGCATATGCAGAAGAACGAGCTCCGGGATGAACTCTGGGTGTTAAGGATGGTGGCTGCAGTGCGTTTGCACAATCGCTTCTCCACTTGTTTTTGTCTCCTTTTGTCAAGTCAGATCCTTAAGCTTTTCTGTCCTCCTAAAATCACAAAACACGACACGCATCTCTCAATGCAGCCCAGCAATCATAGAGTACAGCAGGCCGGTCCAAATCTTAATGTGCCGGATGACAAAAGCAGCAGAGTTATGTGTCCAGTGCTCTACGTAGAAAGAAGTAAACCAGAACTTCACAAGGTCTTTAGACTTACAGTGCCTTGCCAAAAAGTAAAAAATAAATGTAACCACTTTTGCATTTTTTTTTCATATTATTGCCGCAAACCTGAGTGTATTTCACTGAATAAAATCCAAGCAACAATTGCTGAAGTCACTTAATTGCAAAAGGGTGTTAAGAGTTTCAGCGAATTGTACTAGCGTTATGTTACCATGTGTTTAATTAAGTTTAGTGAAATCTAGATGTTCAATTCAATTCAGTTTATCTATATAGCGGCAATTCACAACACATGTAATCTCAAGGCACTTTACGAAATATTAAATACATCATACAGTCTAACTGATTCAAAGTTTTGTATCTAAGGAAAACAAATTTTAATTCATAAAATCATCATTGACTCATTGATGAAATTTTTCACACTAAGCATGCTTGTAGTGACAGTGGAGAGCAAAAACTCCCTTTTAACAGAAAGAAAACTCTAGCAGAACCAGGCTCAGTATGAGCGGCCATCTGCTGAGGCCGACTGGGGTTCAAAGAGACAGTAGCATAGATACATAAGGTTGCTTTCAACCAGCTCCACAGGCAGCCCCGTCCAGGAAACACACAGCCAGGCAGACGAGCTCCGAGCCAGCTCCCATGTCAGCGGAATGAAGAAAGAACTTACAGTTAGTCACAGTCAGATAAATAGGACTACGCTGAAAAACAGGCCAATCTCCTACATCTCTAAACAAAGGTGTTGATGGCAGCAGCACAGCTGATATTTCTCTTCAGGATGGAGTCACAGCCAGACAGGAACAGACGATTAAGGGCTCATATATTCTTTAGAACAGATTATTTAACTCCTCTTTAGAACAACTTAAAGTTGTTCTTTATTCATCCTCTCCACTCCACCCATTTCTTCCTCCTTTTAAGCATATATGCTAATTTAGCCCACTCCCATTTATTTGGTCCTTTTATAACTTTGATATAAACTTTGATCTGGAGGGGCCATTTTTCGTTGCTTATACGTAAAGATCAGACTGAGCCAGTAAGATGTTGCATAGCACAGAAGTAGGTACCATTCTGTTTTTATGAGGTAAAAAAACAGCAGCCCTCTAAGGTCCACCAGCAGAGGGGTTCCTCATGAATGTGTGCAAATCAGCAGCTAAATGTGTTCAACATTTCCTCAAGCATTACGCTGACTGTAACTCAGGCTAACGGTTTAAATACAGCGTCGTTTCGACAGACGCTAGGAAAGGCAAGTTCATTTATAGAGCTTATTTCAGTAGCAAGATTATTTAATGTGCGTGCTGTACATGGAAAAACATAATAGGAAATCACTAAGTACTGAACACGAATAATTAAAGAGAATTACAATTAATACTTAAAATCATAAGATGATAACGAAAATTAACAACTAAGAAAAAGGATTGGAAGCTTAACAACAAACTAAAACTAAACTACAACTTCAGGTTTCAGCACTGTCAATGTTTTCTGGGAGTTTATTCCAGATTTTTAGTGTATAAGAACTAAACGCTGCTTCGTTTCTGGGTCTGCAGAGTAGATTTGATACAGAAGACCTGAGAGGTCTGGGTGGGTCAGACTAACAACATGTCTGTTAGGTATTTGAAGCTAAGCTATGCAGTGATTTATAGACAAACAGCAGTATTTTAAAGTCTTTCCTCTGAGCTACGGGGAGCCATTAAAAGACTTTAGAACCTCCCTGATGTTCTCATCTTTTTTATTTATAGTGAGGACACAGGCAGCAGCATTCTGGATCAGCTGCTGCTATTTGATCCATTTTTAGGGAGAACTATGAAGCCCCGCTGTAGTGATCAATGCTACGAAACATGAACACATAAATTAGTGTTTCAAGGTCCCGCTGAGATATTAGTCCTTTAATCCTCTTTAGGTGTTAAAAGGACAGATTTGTTCCTGTCTTATGAGCCTCTGAAGGTGCAGGTCTGAGTCCATCACTAAAGCCTTCTAGCTGGAATTAGTGAAACTGCTGCTAACTTTGTACAGATGTGTTGTCTGCAATACAAAGCAACCCGTTTTACTGAAATATGCTG